ACACACACACACACACACACACACACACACACACACACACACACACAAACAGCTCTATCCAAAGGTTAGAGAAGCTGATGTGTGACAGGTAGGTTTCTGGTATTTTCTATGAGCTCTTAAAGGGACAATTCACTTTAAAAACAACGTATTTTGTATTAATCAGTTAATATTTATCTTCAGATGAAAATCATAGTTTTGGGCGTAAAGATGGAAATCAGGCGGCAACCTCCATTTCTGCAAAGTGAAGTCAATGCTTCATGTGTTAAAGCTGCATTCTCTCTGCTGACCAGCAGGGGGCGACTCTTCTGGTTGTATAGAAGTCTATGAGAAAATGACTCTACTTCTCTCTTGATTTATTACCTCAGTAAACATTGTAAACATGAGTTTATGGTCTCAATCTCTAGTTTCAAGTCTTCTTCAATACAGCATGATGTTCATTTAGTACATTATGGTCCATTTAGAGTCAAACAGACCATAAAGCAGGGGATGCTTTAGGGCGGGGCTACACAGTGATTGACAGGTCTCTATCACGATGTTGTCCGTGTCAAAGACGGCCAAGATGGTGACGGACAAAAACCAAGATGGCGATGGCTTAAAACCAAGATGGTGACGACCATAGACCAAGATTTACTCCGGAGCCAACCAGAATAAAACAGTTACATGATATCTCTTTGTTTAAAAAATAATCCAAATTGATTAAGACAAAACTTCTCTTCAATGCTGCTCTGCACGCAGGTGAGTCACCTGCTCACCACTCCCGCTAACCGCCATCACTCCATCACCATTAACCACAACAATGGCCGTCACACAAACCCCTTCACCGTCACCGTTTATCACGCCGGATGGCTTTTGTTGCCGCCACAACCGTCTGATAACATTGTGGAGGCTGAGCCCTTTTCTTTTATCCGGCGGCTGCATAACGTGCAAATGTGTGAAGAAGAAATACATCCAACACACGTCTGCTTTATATTTGTGTACCACGCTGATAACACGAATTATGAGTTAGTAATGTTAACGACCAACAGCCTGCAACCATGTGAGTATACATATATTTATACACACGTTATGTATTTAACATGTGACTGTAGTACACAAGTATTACAACCAAAATCTACTCAAAGTATCACGAGTACAAGTACTTGTTATGGGAACTATATGTTATATTTCACGTTCTAGTAGCAGTAAGTGGAGCTAGTTTATAAACCACCTTATAGAGTGAAGTTTGGTTCCCAACCTATCACCGGATAAATGTGAGGGGTCCTGAGATGATTAATGGGAGAGAAGAAGAAGAAGAAGAAGAAGAAGAAGAAGAAGAAGAAGAAGAAGAAGAAGAAGAAGAAGAAACTAAGTTCTGGTAGAAAAATGTATATTACTGATCAAAACATGTTTCAATCATGTTTTCTATGATTTTAGTCAGAATCTTTGAGATAAAAACATCATTTGAACAGATGGGAAATAAATGTGGCATTACAAATTAAAAGTCTCCAGAAATAAATTTCAAAGTAGTCCTTTAAAAAAAATTATATATATCATATATATATATATTATTATGTATTAAACTATATTGATTCATATATATATTGATTTATATATTTATTACCTCTTATTTATTACATATTTATGTGTATTTATTTATTGAACTATAATAAACTCATCTATATATCTGTTGTCTCGTTTATTTATTATAGGCATTTTTATTAATTTATAAGTTTATTTACTTGCATTTTGCAGATTAAAAACAATATATTAATATCTCACCCTCGGAGGAGTCTCCTCCTCTGTGACGCCTCCTCCCGGCTCCGCCTCCTCCATCATCTGACTCTTCCCACTTCTCCTCTTCAACTTCCTCCTGAAGACAATAACAGAAGAATGAATTGTTGAATTGTCATCTTATAAACTTGATGTATATAGATGTTTAAATGCGTGTTATTATATCGGTGGGTTCATTCTCACTGCCTTGAAAGTATTGTGTTACTACGAAGAGGTTATCTCTTTGTTTAACATATTATAAATTTAACCTTTTAGACATGTGTTTATATTTATTACATGTTGGTCTAGAGCTGAGATGATGAGAGAGTAATGTCAGACAGTGACACCTAGTGGTGAAAAGGCAGAAGTACACAACTCTGACATCACATTACAGGAGGTCTGCTTCATTAAACTTTATTTAACTTTTATTAAAGCACAGCAGACGCTCAGCTTCCTGTCATCTCTCTCTGTATGGAGACCAAACACTGCCTAATAATGCAGCGTGGATCGCCAAAATAAAAGTCCAACAGAGTAAAACATCTTTTAAACACAGACTGTCACTGAAGAGGTCTTTTCTGTGCCGTTATTTTACCTCTGTCTTCTGTAACATGATGTGTGTTTATGTTTTAACCGCCTGGACTGACTGTTGTGTTAATGAGAATACATTAACATCTGGCAGCAACAGGTGAAAATTATTAGAGATGTTTTGATTCCATTTTAAATTCTGATACATGAATTTGCGTCTCGGCTGAGTACCAATCTGATACCAGTGCGATAAAAACTAAAATATATGTATATATTATTATTTGTTAACATAACAGCTGTGTATCACTAACCTTTTATTTGATATGATTGCTATAATTGTTTTTTTTTTTAAATTTATTTTATTTTTACAAATTCAAATAAAACAGAACTGTCTTTTTACTTTTACATTTTTAACAAAATAAAAGTTTTTTTTACTTTATATTTTATTTTTATATTTTAACAAAATAAAACTCTTTTTTACTTTATATTTTAAATCGGAGGCATTTGTCGCTGTGAATAAATAAGAGTTAATGTTTACTACTTAACCTCTTTCCTGTCAGACGTAATAAATACAACTTCATTTACAGTAAGTACAAAGTACAAACTCCTCTAAAGTTTATTGATGAGTAACATATAAAGAAAAGGTTGAGCTTTGATCTCTTTAAGTAAAATATACAGATGACAAACTATTTTACATCTGCTTTAAAATACAGTGAAGGTTTGAATACTGCGAGTTTGATCTGTGTACATGAAGATATGAGGAAAACTACTTTAAACATTAAAATGAGCTCATCTCTGCTGTACTTCTGCTTATCTACAGGAAGATAAATGTAACTTCTGCTCACAACAAAGTGAGTAAACTCTGCTGTAACACATTAAAGTCTCTTTAACTTACTGTTGGTTTCACGCATGTGGAGCCTGTATTTAGTTTGTTTTCATGACACTTTTTAAATCCATAATAAAGTAACTAGTAACTAATTCTGTCTGATAAAAGGTAGTAAAAAGTACAATATGTACCTCTGAGATGTAGTACAGTAAAAAGTACAATATGTACCTCTGAGATGTACAGTAAAAAGTACAATATGTACCTAATAAAGTGGTAAAAGTTGAGCTTGTTGTTTTAAGTTTACGTTACTAAATACTTTGTGTTCCCTTAAGAACCAGGTAAACTCTGCTGCTATTTAAACTATTTCTACACGTAAAGAAGTGTTAATAAGTTAATTCGTAACCAGTTTCAGCTCGTTAAAGGTAAATAAACGGTGTTTAACTACCTTTAATGAGGTGTAACCGGCTAAAAACAAACATTGTAAACGTATTTTTTTACCTTCACAGTGTTAAAAACAAACTTCTTTCTTCTTCACACCGTCAGTTTCTCTTCTCTGTTAACTCTTCATTCCTAAAAGTGACAAAATAAACCAGACTCCGTTTAAAAGGTTAACAAGTTAGAGGGAGGAAGAGTCTCAGACACCCGGAAGTGTTTTCTAGCCGTTTGTTTCTCAGAGGGCGCTCGATTTTGTCGTCACGGTGCGTACCGGATGGGCGGTGATAACCACAGGATGTACCCGGAAGTTATTTCAAGTTAAAATTGTTATATTTATATGCACATATGCCTTGGGGTGGGCTACAGTACTTGACACCACTGTAGCCCACCCCAAGGCATACGTGCATATAAATATATATATATATATATATTTATACAGTATTTTTTGTTTTACATGTTATGTGTTATACTAAATGCATGTATAAACAAATAATAAAATATTTAAAATTTGAAAAGAATACAAAATATATCTTAGTTAGAGTAAAAGACTAAAGAAATAAGATGGATAACTTAATCCTATTTACTGATAAATATGCAAATACACACTATAAATTTTGCACTAATAAGGAAACCTATTAAAGTTATTAATGCGTTGATTTTAATGTCTCTATTAACTATGTAAGTAAACAATAAAAACATGATAATCAAAACAAGTTATGAGTGTAATATTTAAAACGAGGTGCACTGAACATTAACGCCTCCAGAGGGCGCTGGTGACACATCACACTTTATTCATATTGATACCATAAATATCTGATGCATTTCTGTGTTCAGTTAACAAAATAAAAGTCTTTGTCCAAAGATAAAACACTCTCAATCCTTTTACATCTTTCTGGCTCTTCAGTTTGTTTTTTGCATTGCATTGTGGGACAACAGAGAGCTCATTAGCATATTTTGAGTCCACATATTAATGTCACTTTTTCACAGTAAGAATTACTGCATGCACAGCTTAATAACAGTCATAATAGTCTTTATTTGTAGAGCACATGTCATGCAAAGACACAGCTAAAAACAACATCACAAAACAACAAAACATAAACAATGACGTTAAATTAAAAGCCAAATTAAAATGAATTGCTCTTTTAGGGAGATAAACTTGTTAAAGAGTTGAGTTTCACAGAGTTTCATATATATGTATAAATATATCTATATATATATATATATATATATATATATATATGTGTATGTCAATATATGTGTATAATAATGTAAATGTAAAATAAACACCAGGAATGAAACCAATGTATCAATTTCTGAGCTTTTTATATGTAATTTGATACCAATATACACACACACACACACACTCACTCTCACTCTCACACACACACTCACACACACACACAAAGTTACTGACATCACATTTCATGAAGGTCAACACACACGCAGGCGGTCACGGTTTTCTGGCTCAAGTTCTAGTGTGTGCGTGTGTGTGTGTGAGTGTGCGTGTGTGTGTGTGTGTGTGTGTGCGTGTGTGTGTGCGTGTGTGTGTGTGTGTGTGTTATTGATACCTGAACACATGTCACACAGATTCCTCGGACACAAAAACACTCGGACACAAGAGAACGTTTCATCTTCTTGTTAAGATCTAGAAATGTTTTCCTCCTCAGGCCTCTCAAAGTCTAAAATATTATATATTTGAGAAAATACTCAAAAAACTCAGACAGAGATTTTAACAAGAAAAAAGCAAATTTTGAGGAAATAAAAAGATAACTTTTGCATAATAGAAACATTTTTCTTTGATTATTTTACAAAGGCACATTTGGCTACAAGCTCTTTTACAGCAAAGCTCTGTGAACAGTTATATAAATAAAACATGACGGAACAATAAACAGTTATTGGCAGCTTTTACTTTGGCTTTTTTTGTCAGATGTGATGTTTCTTTTAGTTATTTCTGACATTAAATTGGTGAGTTTGATCTTTTACATGCATTATGATTTAGCTCACCAACTTAAAAAAGTAATTTCAAAAAAATAGAAACTCAAATCTAAACTTTCTTTCTGACCGAACAGTCAAATTTGGGAATTTTGGCGTAAAATTTCTCAGCAAATCTTCACAATGTGACAAAATGTTGAACATTTAAAGAACACAGATAAACAAACAAAGACACAAACAAACCTCTCAGTATGTACAACATATTAAAACACTTAAGCCCTAAAGCGTCAATTTAGGGGGGTTCACAGATCATTTGGCTCATTTTGAGGATATAACAATGACGTAATTGTGACGTTTAGTGTGTGTGTGTGTGTGTGTGTGTATGTGTGTGTATGTGTGTGTCGTCTACGCCCATCTCCCACTTGAGCTGAAGGTTCGGCTCATGCTGTAGACGGCGGTGGAGCTCTGGTGTTTCCCCCAGGCTCCGAACGGGACCACGATGATGGTGGCGTTGTCCTCCGAGCCGTACTGCAGCGCCTAAAAAAATAAATATTTATGGTCTGTTTGACTCTAAATGGACCATAATGTACTAAATGAACATCATGCTGTATTGAAGAAGACTTGAAACTAGAGATTGAGACCATAAACTCATGTTTACAATGTTTACTGAGGTAATAAATCAAGAGAGAAGTAGAGTCATTTTCTCATAGACTTCTATACAACCAGAGGAGTCGCCCCCTGGTGGACACTAGAGAGAATGCAGCTTTAACACATGAAGCATCGGGTTCACTCAGCAGATATTATCAGAGATTATTATTATGAAAACCTAAAAAAAGTTAACCTACGTTGGAGGTTTATTTTGAAAAGACTATATGCATCTTAGGAGTGAACTCTGTATATTTCCACTGATGTTTATTTTGAAAAGACACAAACGAGCGGAAACTGTAGTTTCCTCCTTCCTACTGTTGACCACCTCCTAATATTCTGATGGATGTAGATATTATTTTCAGTTAAATTTGTGCTTCATTTGGATGAAAATGTCTCCGGTACCTGCTGAGCGATGACGTCAGCGGCCTCTGTGGGGTCTTGGCACTGGTTGATGACATCACAGATCTCCTGTTCGCTCAGCAGGAAGTTGATGCCGTCGGTGGTCAGGGCCAGGAAGGAGTCGTTTGCGTGCTGGACCTGCAGAGACCAGGATTCTCACATATGATCTTTAAACCATCGATGAATGTGTAAACGTTGAATGTGTTTTGGGGGGACTCACGGTGAGTCGCCGGGTGTCCGGCTCTGCGATGACGCCGCTGGCCTTCAGGTGGAAGTCTCCGATGCTGCGCGACATGGCGAGCCGGCCGTTAACGTTGGCCTCACCGACGCTGTTCCACGTCACGAAGCCGCCGAACCTCTGGATCCTGAACACACGAAGTACATTTACTCAAGTATACTTGTACTTTACTTGAGTAATTTCATACTACTTCCTGATTCTCCTCCAGTACATCTGACTTTCTTTCTCTATTAATTATATTTTTATTTTATATTCTCATACTTGTTTTTTTAAAGGTTTTTTAAATCTTAAAATCGTTTAATTAAATTTTTGGGATTCTATTATTTTATATTGTTGTTTTTCAATACCATCCATAATAATAATAATAATTATTATATCTCAGAGATAAATACTGTAGTTTTTACTAAAATCCTCACTTCTTAAGCTAAATAAGCCTGTTGGAGATACGAGGTTCTCACAGGCCAGTGATGCTACAAACATGTGATGATCTTATAATATATTGGGTCTGCACACATATTATTAAAGCACTGTAGTACTAGTAGTCATAGGACTAGTAACAGTAGTCATAGTACCAGTCTCGGTGTGTACCTGTGTCTCTCCTCCTTGAGGTCAGGTGTGTGGTCTTTGGTGAGCTTGTTGGCTCCTCCCTTCCTGCACAACAACGCTCGGCTGTCGCCGGCGCTACCGACCACCAGCTCCACACCGTCACGTAGCAGAGCAACCGTCGCCGTAGTGCCGGCTGTCAGGAAGGAGGCTGAGGAGGAAGATGGAGGGAGATGGACGTTCAATGACAATTTAGTATTTAGCATTAGCATTTATTTTGTAGTATTACAGATGCAGTACTTTTAAATTTGTTTTCTTTTTTTGTTTGTTTGTTGGTACAGTATTATGATGGATACATTATATTAGAATATTGTCACGTTAAATAAAGTGGTTTCACTTTTAATATTTTATGAACTGAAATGTTGATCAATCTGCACTGTAAAAATAAATTAATACATAAAATTAAATTAAGTTTTCTCTTTCTGATTTACATTCTATATCTAAAGGAATAATTTGCAGAGAAATTAAAATATAGTCAAAACAAAAACACCAAAACAAACATCCATAAGGAACAATGGAAGAGAGTGGATGTTGTTGCGTTACGTTGTTGCGTTACGTTGTTGCGTTACGTTGTTGCGTTACGTTGTTGCGTGACGTTGTTGCGTTACGTTGTTGCGTTACGTTGTTGCGTTACGTTGTTGCGTTACGTTGTTGCGTGACGTTGTTGCGTTATGTTGTTGCGTTACGTTGTTGCGTTACGCTGTTGTACTACATTGTTACTGAAGTTTTTGCAATTATGTTTTTCCGTTTTGTTTTATTACGTTAGACTGTTACGTCAAATTGTACATTGTTATGTTGCATTGTTGCGTTACGTTGTTGCGTTACGTTGTTGCGTTACGTTGTTGCGTTACGTTGTTGCGTTACTTTGCTGCGTTACTTTGCTTCGTTACATTGTTGTACTACGTTGTTACTGAAGTTTTTGCAATTATGTTTTTCCGTTTTGTTTTATTACGTTAGACTGTTACATCAAATTGTACATTGTTACATTGCATTGTTATGGTACGTTGTTGCATTACTTTGCTGAGTTATGTTATTACAATGTTACATTACGTTGTTATGTTGCATTGTTACTATAACTTATTACTACGCTGTTACACTTTTACTTTAACATAAACCACGACCTTTGTTTGACCTTATTCAAGTAGTTTTGTAGCCTTAACCTAACTAATCATCCACAGCGTTACTATATCCCATTGTTTGTAGAAACAATGCAAAACCTTTTAAGTGGGTTGGACAGAGAACACTGAACCCAAAATTATAATGTTTAGAAATGTTCTTGTTGAAATTGTGTAATATTTGTATTTGTGTCCGTCTTGGTTGTTGTTGCTGTCCAGCGTCTTGTCAAGTAGTAAATACAGCATGTACTCATAAAATGTATTACTATAGTGTACTTGTGTGTGTGTGTGTGTCTCACCATTGTTAAAGTATCTGAGGTGTGTGAGTAGAGCCTTGTCAACGTCTAAAAAGGCTTTCTTTAGAACTTTCTCCAGGTTGTCCTCGTCCTCCAGAGCGTCTCTGCCCAAAAACACTCTCATGTTGCAAAGTGTAACAGTCTAAATGTCGTGTTATCAATATTATCTTACTAATATCTAACCTGATGAACTTCTCCATGAAGGTGTAGCAGTAGTCGGCGGCGTGCGGACCGCCGTGACCGTCGAACACGGCGAAGTACAGCAGGTTGTCATGGATACGGGCGACACGGAGACGATCCTCGTTCTGCTTCCTGAGACCCAAAACAGAAGCACTGCCGACCCAGGACAGACTGACCTGAGAGGGTTCATCGGGTCAGCCGCTGTTCATCTATTCATACACGTATTCATATAATCATCCATCCATTCATTCATTCACTCATATAATCAATCCATCCATCAGTCCATCCGTCCATCCAACCATCATCCATCTGTCCATTTGTCCATCCAACCATCATCCATCTGTCCATTCGTTCATCCAACCATCCATAATCCATCATCCATCCATCCTTCCATCATTCCATCCATCCATCATTCATTCATATAATCCATCCATCCATCCGTCCATCCAACCATCATCCATCCGTTCATCCAACCATCATCCATCCGTTCATCCGTTCATCCATCCATCATTCCATCCCTCCACCCATCCATCCTTCCATCCATACATCCATCTTTCATCCATCCATCCATCTTTCATCCAACCATCCATAATCCATTCACTCATTCATCCATCTATTTATTATTCATTCATTCATTTATTCAACCATATAGCCAAATATTCATTCATCCATTCATCATTGAATCCATTAATGTATATATTCTTTTATCCATTTACTCATCTATTCACCCTTTAATCCATCATTGTCTCCATTCATTGATCTGCTCACTCATTCATTCATCTGTTGATCAATTCATCCACACATCCATCATCCATCCATCCATACAGTTACCTGTGGAATTGGTTTTCCATATCTGATGCTGGAGGGCAGCAGTACCGGTTCTTCTATCCTGTTGTCCCAGATACCGAATGAGTCCCAGGTGACCGGCCGGCCGCTGCCGTCGCTGTCGAAGCGATTTGACCCGCTGACCCGCCGCACGCCCGCACCCCCGAACAAAGCTCCGCCCACCTGCAGGGCGACCAATCAGACGTTAACTATCAATGGTATTAAAGTCAGGTTAATGTTTTGAATGTTCTGAATGTTCTGAATGAATTGCCTAAAACGATGTAACACATACAAGGTGAGTGTGGCCGATGTTCAGTGGTGGAAGAAGTAATACTGAAGTAAAAGTAAAAAATACCACAGGCTACAAAGGCTCCATTAGTAAAGTACTGATACTATAAGTATTATCAAGAAAATGTACTAAAAGTGTCAAAGTTGTACTAAAGTACTTGACTGTAGATTGACCTGTCCAGCAGCTGTGGAGGTTTCTCGTACGGTGAGGAAGGTTTGTCTGACGGTGGAGCGACCACATCGCAGCAGATTGAGCAGAACTGGAGATGACATGACTGTGAAGGAAACACCTGGACGGGCAGCGGGTTTCTGAAACACAAACATGATGTAGTCGTAGGAAACAGAGCTCAGAATCACATCTTCAAAAGTACTTGTTTTGTCCTAAACCCAAAGATATGCTAACGATATAAAACAGAGAAAAGTGGCACATCCTTGCATTTAATCAGTGGTGGAAATACTCTACTGCAAGTAAAAGTCCTGCATTCCAAACCTTACTTCAGTAAAAGTACGTATCAGACAGATATGAAAGTAGTCATTGTGCAGTTAAAGGTCCAGGGCTCAGGTTTCCCAGCAGTTCATCAGGTTTTTGTGTATAAATAGATTCTACAGTATGTTGGACTGTTGCAGGCCGACAGGTTTCAGGTTTCCCTTCAGCTGGTGTGACAGAAGTTTAACGACATGTTAAAGTCTTAACTGTCCTTAAATGTGACGAACTTGTCTTATCGTCTTAACGTCGCCCGATATCAGAATTTAGGAATAAGAGCCAGAGTTTTAGTATTACATCTGATGTTGTGTCTCGTGTTTTCAGCTTTGTGGCGATGCATCTTTATTTATAAAGTTTATTTATCTGAAGACGAAGGAGGGTTTTCTCTGCAGGTCATTAGGTTTCTGGAGCTTTTATTTTGAAGGATGGGTACTACTAATGCTTTAATAAAGTTCTTTGAAAACAAGAAACACAATATTAGACACTAGTACTCTGATCCTTTACTAAAGTAAAAGTAGCAATGCCACCGAGTAGATAATACTTTTTAAAGTACAAGTACAAAAGTATAATTATTGATGCATTAATGTGTTCATCAGTTATAATGTTGCAGCTGGTAAAGGTGGAGTTAATTTTAACACCTTTATACTTAGCTTACTTGAGAATATCCCCCCTTAATTTATCTTATAAAAATAAATAATATTATATAATATGAATATATAACTAAAGTTGTGAAAGTAACTTAAGCTATCAGATAAATATAGTGAAGTAAAAAGCAATATATTTCCTTCTGAGATGTAGTGGAGTAGAAGTACAAAGTAGCAGGAAATGGAAAGACTCAAGTAAAGTACGACTAAATCAAAATTGTAGTTGAGTACAGTACTTTAAGTCGTCACCTTTACTCCATTTCCCTGTGACGCGGTCTTTACCTCTTACCATGTAAATAAACCTGTGTTGGTAATCAATACTAATACAACGCGTATTGCTTCACTAACTGCTGATGGATCTGTATCTAAAGCCAGGAAACACACGTCAGAGGGTTAAGAGCTCGTAATCAGTGTGAAGTGACCTTTGGGGTCAGAACAGTTCGTACACTGAGACATATGTGACCGGCTGGTGTCGACAAAACACAACAACGCACATGAGTAGATGATAGGGTTACACACTGACCCACATACCGCATATAACAATTAATGATCGGCATATTTTTTAATGGAATCCATGCCGATCAATCATATATGTACAGTATATATATATGTATATATGTATATATATATATATTATATTCTTTTATTTAAAGCAACATTAGATGGAACTAAAACCACAAATTAATTCTACGGTATTGAGACATACTGCAGAAAATTAACAGAATAAACATACATATCTATATATTATATATATTTATAATATATATATATATAGCAAAAGTACCATGAGTAGATTACTGTAGGAGTATTATAAAAATAAAATAATAAATACACTTTAAACTAACTTTTAAGCCATTATTACTTTTAAAACATTGCTGTTTTAAAAGGACAACAAAGTCAAAATGGCGGTTACATAAACTCACCTTCTTCTGCTTCTCTTTTATTGGTGTTTTTTTTCTTCTTTTCCCGCCGGTCCCGTTTCCGTGGCAACAGGTGTCCTTCAGCTCCAGCAGCTGACACGAGACGTCAAGTCTCCCTTGCGCTGTGGCTGTTGAGATCGAGGGGAGGGGAGGGGAGGGGAGGGGGCTCGGCTCGAGGGCACTGAAACTGAGCCGCTGCCGTCCAATCAGAAGCCGAGCACAGTTCCGACGTCACTGTTCGGTGGAGAGGGTGTGTCTGTTTTTTGGCGCGAAGCCAGATCAAGGAAGGAATGGAGACCTCTCTCTCCCTTTCGCCTCCATTTTGTTATATTTAAAGTAAAACAAACTCTAGTGAAGTCCAGTGGTGGAATGTTACAAAGTACATTTACTCAAGTACTGCAATTAAGTACAATTTTGAGGTATTTGAGTTACTTGTGTCCTTTCTTGTCATACAACTTTATAGGCTACTTCACTACAGTTCAGAGAGAAAATGGGCCATTCCACTGAATTGGTGTAACATTGGTGTGAATGTTATTTTTCAATATTAAACTTAATATTTTTCTCTTTTTCCAGCACTGAATCTAAATATCACACGTTTGACTATTCAGAATGTGTAATAGTCTATCTCAGGCTATTTTCAAGCTTTAGTTTCTATTACGCAGACTTAATGATCTTTTTGAATACTCGATTCTGATTGGTCCATTACAGCATTCTTCGGTGAGGTGTATTATTTCTGTATAGCAGACCGTTGCTCATATATTTAGGATTTTGTGTGTATATAAAAGCGTCATACTGAGGTCTGTGTGAGCTCAGTGTCTCTGCAGCACAGACTGAATAAAACATGGCGGAGAGACTCTTGTTGTTAACATGAGCGTGACTTTAATGTTTCTGAATAATTCACAGAACCATCAACAACATGACTCCCCTGCAGTGATAACGGAGAGAAAGTTAGACGAGGGGAGGAAATGTGTGTGAATCGAGGACATAGGAAACACAGAGGAGCTCACTAAAAGTTAATATGCTGTACTGGTTTGAGGACATGAACTCCCAGCAGGGCCTCAGAGCAGACAAAGAAACAACTATTTAAAATATGATGTATGGTTTAGGTTGGTGTTTCATGTGAGCATGCAAGAAAACCAAATTAGTACATTAATAAAGCAGGAAAACGGTGTGTTTGTGTGTTTGTGTTGCCTCGTCAGCAGGATCCTGCTTAATAAATGTCTATTGACTGAGGTGTGAAGTGACCCGAGAGGGGAGGAAGGAAAGGAAAAGGAATAAGACAAGAAAGACAGGAAAGGAAAGGAGCAAGAGGAAAGGGACTAAGAAAGACATGAAACAAAAAGAAAAGGAAAGAACAATACAGGAAAGGAAAAGTCTGGAAAGGAAGAGAAAGGTAAGGAAAGGAAAAGGAAAGAACGGACGGAAAAGGGAAAAGAAATTGAATGAAGAGAGAAAATGAAATTAAAAGAATGGAAAGGGCTGGATAGGAAAAGACTGAGGAGGAAAAGAAAAGAAAAAAAAGAAAAAGTCTGAAAAGGAAACAAAGGTGGAGGGAAAGACAAGAAAGAAATTTACAATAAAAAAAGGACAGACGGAAAAGAGAAAAGATATCAAATGAAAGGAAATGGGTGAGGAGGAAAAGAAAAACAAAACAGGAAAGTACAAGGCAAGAAATTAAAGGAAAATACTGAAAAGGAAAAGAAAGGACTAGAAATGGAAAAAAAAGGAAAGCAAAAGAAAAGGAAGGGAAAGACTTTAAAGGAAATTACAGGAAATAAAAAGACGGAAAAAGGAAAAGAATGGAGAATAGAGGAAGTGCTTCCTGTCAAACAATTCAACACTCTCTCTCACACACACACACACACACACACACACACACACACACACACATTCAGGCTTCCGGGGTGCTTGAGTGGTTTTGTGCGGCGTTCCGTTAAAAGAAGTGAAGTGGATGAAATATTTACCACCAGTGAGGAGTCGAGAGTGGCTGTCCGCTCGGCTCCACATCAAAAACTAGAAGTTAGGTTATTAATTGTAACCCCGGCTGTTGTCACATGAAAAATGGTGTTGCCTTCCACATTTGATCATTAAAAAAACATTAATCAAAAGATAAGAGACCAGATAAGTTGTATGAATATTATTTTAGCTACATAGAGTGTAATGTTCTGTGTGCACAAAAGGTTACTCTATTTGAAGTAATCAACGTTGTATAAATACACGCAGGTAGACATAATGTGAAGTGGTAAGTGCTGTTAAATGTGAACACTTGTGTTTTTAAAGTCTGGTATATGAATGGTTTTTCTGGACTCAGTCCGCCATGGTGGGCGACTTCCCGCAGCATCCCAGGATCCCCCCCCTCCTCTTCTTCTTCCTCTTCTTCATCATCCTGTGCTCTGTGAGGCTGCCGGCGGAGCAGATGGACTTCCTCAGAGTCCGGATGTGCTTCTTCTGCTCCCGAATCTTTGACTCCAGGTGGGATTGGATCGCCGTGCCGAGTGACTCCATGTCCACCGCGGCGCCGTAAACCTCCCACGTCCTCCCCTGTTTGTCCCACGCCACCTCCTGCGGCCTCGTCGCCTTTTCCCCTTCCTCTTCCTTGTTGTTTTGCTCCCTCAATACTTCCTCCTCTTCCCAGATGCTGTCAGCACTCGCGTCTCGGTTTTGTCCGGGTCGTGGCTCTGGCTTGAGGGCGGGGCTCTGCTGGAAGCTGTACGTATGCAAACATGCGGGCAGGGAACTCGCGCTGTCAGCGCCGCTAACGGAGGGAAGCGACGATTGCCGGCACAGCTCGATGTCGATCTTGCAGACGTGCTGGACGGGCGGCTGCCCGGCGGGGACGCAGCACAGCGACGGCTCCGTTGGCGAGGTAGCTGACTGACAGATGGGGGAGCCAATCAGGGAGGAAGAGGGAGCGCCCCCGTGCAGGCTGGAGCCGGTGGAAGCCAAGCGTTCGACCACCTCCAACTCCACTTGGACACCCACCTCTCTCCGCTCCCCTCCCTGACAAAGAAGCCTCTCACTGGGGTCGGTCATGGTCGCCGTCTCCCTCACCGTCTTGGAGCTCGGACGGAGTAGAGACGAAGAAGGGAGAGGAGGAGAACTCCCTCCGCCATCTTTCTTTTTAACCCGCTCCTGCTTCTTCTTCTCTTCCTCCTTGCTCTCACCACCAGCGGTGGTGGCATTTGTGTCTCCCAGGTGACTTGGTTTGCTCTGCGGGGCACGTGGTATCCTCTTGTCTCCTGGCAACCACCTTGTGTTGTCAGTCATATCTGCCCCTCGCACGGCCCCCTGAGATACCGCCGGCCCTCCTGCAGCTGTCACTTTGGTTTCCGGCAGTTTCAAATGTTCTTCCTCGTCGGCAACAGCTGTTTTCGCCGATGTCTTGGTGGTAGAGTCACAGTTGAGAGCCCGAATTAGTCTGGTATTATGGGGTGTCCTGCTGGTGTTTGTTTCCACAGTAACAGATGCAACTGCTGCAGGCTCTGGTGTGGATCTGCTTGTCATTGTCACGGCAACAGTGGTTCTGGTTTTGGGGCTGGAGGTGGCCCGAGGAGCCAGCAGTCCTGAGATCACACCAGAACCTGCAAGCAGGACACATGTTAGAAAACAGGCTTTTAAAAAAACATATTCCAAATATAATGCATGTAATTACCTGGAGCTGAACCAGGACTCCTCACAACCTCTCTGTGTGGTCCAGCCAGACTAGAAGCAAGAGTTTTGCCAGGACCTGACCCAGGACTCCTACTTGCTTGACTTGGTTGAGGAGAGAGCGTCAAGGAGGGAGACAAATCTGCCAGAGTTGACTTTGAGCTCGACCGAACTGGTCCAGGCTTAGAACAATCTGAACCTGTAGCTTTAGGATCTGGACTGAGTTTAGTACTGGAGATTGCAGCCTTGATGTTGTTGTCTTTGGACCCCGATAGACCAGTTCTAGGTGACGATGGGGAGACAGATCCAACAAGGTCCATGTTAGAGCCAGAAGCCAGCAGAGAAGGTTTAGAAGTTGAACAGGGTTTAGAACTGGAAAGGACACCAGAATTACAGCTGAGATTCAACTCAGAAGGTGGTTTAAAACGTGGACTAGTTTTAAGATTGAAACTGTTTTTAGAGTCTGATGGACTCAGAGTTTTAGGATCCAGGTTGTCTTTTGACCCCATGCCAGATTTAGAACCCACAACTGTCTTAAAATCTGGACTGGTTTTACTTGGTTTGATTTCAATTGCGGTTTTAGAATCAAGGCTATCTCCGGAACCCAAACCGGACTTCCAATTGGGACTGGCTTTGGAATTAGATCTAGTTTTGGAGTCTAAGCTGTCCTTTGAGCCCCAACTGGTTTTGGGAGCAGAACCGCTTTTACAATCCAGACTATCTTTGGACCCCATTGCTGTTTTAGAGTTGGGACTGGCTTTAAAATCTGAGCCTTTTTTAGAATCCAGACTGTCCACGGCTTTGGAATTTGAACTGGATTTGGAACTGGTTTTGGATCCAGAACCAGCACTTGAATCTTTACCATCAAGATTCTCCTTGGACCCCGATGCGTTACGGTTTCTGGTCCCTGAAGCTTTCCTCTGTGTGGGTGGTTTGGGGCATAGGGAACTTGTTTGAGGAGTCTTGGTGCTGAGCAGTGCCGTTTCAGTCCTCTGATTTGGTGATTTTGGTTCTACAGGGGGCATCTCAGAAATGGGAGTTCTTGAGTCATGTCTGGTGCTTCCTGAATCTTGTTTTGGGGTTTTGGTTGACATTGTTGGGGTTCGATTGGCAAGTTTTGGACTGATAACGTTTGAATCACCTTTCGGGTTGTGGACGTTGAGGCATACGGGAAGGTGTAGACTTTTTGGCGACTGTGTCTCAAGGCTAATTTCTTTTCTGTGTGTTTGCATTTTTGGGGCAACTGTTATTTTGTTTGTAGTCTTTGTTGTCAATCCAGTTGTCGGTGCAATATTTGGTTTGGGGTTTAAGGTGCTTGCAGGTTCCGTTCTCTGTACTTGCGGTTTGACTCTTTCGGTCGTTCTGGGGCCGCCAGCGATGGTTGTTTCTTCCCCTCGGTGGGGTTTTGGACTCGCCACCATGTTGCCGTGTGTCTTGGGGCCGAGTGTAGAAGTACGTTTGGGGTTTGGGAATTTCAGCCTTTGCTCGCGTCTGCTGTTCACCGGCGCCTCGGCTGTTGGTGAGAGAGACACAGCTGGAATTTTGCTTTTTAGTGGCCATGGATCATCTCTTTCCCCTGGCGATGTCACAGGGGTTGTCAGGGTGCTTGCTGACTTGCCTGTTTCTGTGGCAACTGCTCCCTTTGCCCCACCTCCTTTATTCCCATCATCCATTTTGTTCCCTCCGTGCGGCTTCGAGGTCTCCGTGGTTGGGCGGGGGTTTCTCGGCAAAGTCAGAGTGAGGTTGAGGTTGAAGTTAGGCTCCGCCCCCCAGTTGGTGTTGGGATCTGCGTTGCAGAGGGCATTTGCAAGATCGTCCTCCTCTGGAATTGGGCCTTCTGATTGGATGTCATCCTTCCCGTGTTTAGAAATATTTGGGGACGTTTCCATGTTATTTTTACGTCAGAATATTATAAGCAGTATTTGGCAGTCGAAGGTCAGCACCTGATTGTACAGATGGAGAAACAGATAATCAAAACAAGTCAAATATAATTCCCAAACCATTTACCCTTCATCAAACCAGTAGAAAATGATGCGTTTGGTATTCATCCCTCTGTCATGGTACCAAAAGTAAAAATATTCTATTCTGAAGCCATCTTATATTATTATGGTTGAATTCATGAAAAAAAAAGAAAATGTTAAACCTTTAAATATATTTTCCTGGCTGCCAAATATCAGCTCAGTAAAAAGGGACAATATTTTCTGACACACTGATGAATGCTCTGGGGATCAGATCTTCCTGCTGTGCCTGAAACATTCACATGCATGAGTAGATGTGTAACACGTTCTTCCTGGTCTAAACCAAACTGTGTGAGGATGAAAGATGACTGATTACTGGACAAACTGTAAAGCCCTTTAACACACATTGATATTTTGAGCCGCACAAATAAATCTGATTTGACTGAATGCACACAGCAACTTATTTAAATCTATACATCTATCAGAGTCATTTGATAAGAGAAATATCTGTGGTGTAAGAAGTATTCAGATCTTTTACTTCAGTAAAACTATACCAGGGTCTAAAAATACTACAAGTCAACGTCCTGACTTCAAAATATTCATGAAGTAAAAGTACAAGCAAAATGTTCTTGATGTCAGTTTTTATCACTCAGAAATACACACAAGAGTATTAACGTTGTAGTTCATCAATGTCGAGACAATTTTAGATATTTAATAGATATATACGACTGGAAATATACAGTACTGCATCATATCATAAAAGCATACCATATGTTATTATTCAAATATCTTAATCAGCAAAGAGTACCCGAAGTAAAAAGTGCAATCTTTTTCTCTGATATGTAGATAGATAGATATGTATAAAGTAGCATTAAATGGAAATACTAAAGTAAAGTACAAGTACCTCAAATAAGTATTTTACTTTCCACCACTGAGAAATATATTGAGACGTAAATAGTCTTTTTACGTGCAAGGAATTTGCTTCGCTGTATTGGTGCATAACATAATTATTAAGAAAAAAAAAGTAAATTAAAACACGAAACATAAATATAGAAAATTACAATATTCTAAGATTGATAGGAATGTAATAATAATCACAAAGAATGTATGGTAAATACTACCAATCAGTTTTAATCAGTAATACTGTAGTCATTTTAATCAGTAATATTATAGTTATTTTAAACAGTAGTTATTTAAACTCTCTACATACCCATTCAGGGAGAACTGAATCCTAACTCCCATCGTGTCTGACCTCCTGCTGACTACGCTCCCTCTCTCCTCGCTGCTTTAACAGAGGAGGCATTTATGAATAAATAAAAGGAGGAGGAGATCATCATGTTTTCTCTCCTCCCTTTTCCTCCTCTTCTTCTTCCGTTTTCATTTTTCAAGCCTTCGGTCATTCCCTCTCTTCTGTTTCTTCTTCTGATTCCTCAAACCCTTTTCATCCTTCCTTCTCTTCATCGTCATCTCCCCCCTTTTATTAAAGAACCTCCCCCTATTTCCTCTTCCTGTCTACCGTCGTCTTGCATCTCCTAATATTTCATCCCTTTCCAGCTGTTTGGATACGCATCCTACCGTCTACCTGTTAATTTGTATAAACTCTGTTTACTTTTGGCAAGTGCATATTTTGTATATTTTATTTATTTCATAATCTTTATATTTTGTTTATTAGCACTCTATATATTTGCACTCTTTCCCACTTCGGTCTGCAACCATTTCCCTCTGAATAAATAAAGTTTTATCTTATTTTGTCGCATATCTTTATTCATAAAAGGAGGATGCATTGGACATTGAACATGTTGCTTAAAGACTAAATTAAAATAATAAAAAAAGACTGTTAAGGTAGAAAATAACAATCAAAGAGTTAAATTGCAATGAAGCAACAATGAGATTTTATTTGTATTCAGAGAACCTCAGCTAAGTTTTACTGTTTAGGACAGACTTGATGAATTATGACATTATTTGAATGTATTAATGTAGACGTACTGAGTTGTACAACAGCACGCTGCTGGTTACCTGGATACTAAAGCTGTCTGTCACTGCCACCTGAGGGCTGTTTGTGTGGGCGGCTGTTAAAGAGACTATTTACAACAGCTTAAATTAGCTCATTAAACGCACAAAGACTGGAATTATTAAATTAAATAAACACGAGTCAGCTTTTCTGCTTTGTGTAAAAACTTGAGAAAAAGATCTGAAGTTCAGAAGAAAGTTTTGGCTTTTATTTACAAAACATTTAGCATCTACAACCAATAAAACACATCTGAATTTTGGTGAAATTGTTAATTAAGTTATAGAAAAATCTTTACAGTTGTTCGGCCTAGAAAACAAGAAAAAGTAGAGAAACTGTATTTTCTGTATATATTTCTCAAAAGAGCTTTAAATTTATAATATAAAATGTACGTTTGCTGAGTAACTGAAGCCTCAAAAGGTTTGACACACTTTTGAATACTTGTCTGTCACACACACTTCAGCAGCCTCAGCCAATAGGACGCTGCGACAGTGACCTGTCAACAACAGCTGACTCTGTATTTGTCTTAAAGTTGTTTGCTTGTTCTCACACCATCAGTCACTTTTCTTATTCGGTCGATGGACGTGCGACACGGCGGACAGGAAGCCACTTATTAAGGAAAAACCTGCTTAATTACCTCACACACACACACACACACACACACACACACACACACACACACACACACACAAACCACGTTGAAAAGATAACCAGACGGTTATTCTGCTGAGACGCAGCATGGAGGAGAGCTTCAATACCGAGCAGTAAGTCACCTCAATTAAAACATTTTAAAATGGGAATTGATTCTGAGTAACTGCACTCGCAAGTGGAAAAGACTCAATTCATAAGTAGAATAAAGCTTGAATAAAATAATGAATGCAGTTTTAGTTTAGAAATGTAGATTAACACCATTCAGGTTTAATTACTATGAGCAATATACCATTAAAAAGTTACATTTGTTCTTCAATCCCTCAATTATTCCTATTTTAACAGATAAACAGTATTATTCAGACAACCAGAGGATTTATTTACGTGTGAAATAGTTTGAAATGATTCACACTTGAAGTGGAAGTTGAATGAGTTTGATTTTTTAACTGTAAATATTACTATAAACTATAAACTGTGATTAGTTCCAGCTTGTTCTCAGATGCTTTTATGGTGAAGCTGAAACTTTTCAAATCCTTCTGATTTTCTTCTTCCAAACACAGGAAACACAGTTAGCTTAGCACTTTGATTAACAAGACATTTGAAGATATAGCAAATTGTGCTACTTCTTTGTCTAAGCCGGAAGACTGATAGGAGCGTAAACTTAGTTACTCACAGTTAAGGGTTAGCTAGTTAGGCTAGCTGACAATGCTCATTCGGACTAGCCAAAGTAGCATTTAGCTAGCTAAGCTAAAAAGCCAGCTTGTCTTCCAACGTCATGAAAGACACAATTATGCTAAGAAAAGTTGTCAGCGTCATATTCTTATTTGATATTTTTTCCAGAATATTTTTTTTGCCAGTTAGCTGACAAGCCCTCTAATAAACTGGTTATTTAGAAGATCTTCGACATAGAGAAATGTCTGTATCGTCTACTGGTATACCAGTATATTCTTGCCAAAAGTATACATTTTGTGTGTACTGTGTCTACATGTCGAACAGCGAGGTCGGCAGTGAACTGGACTACTCTCCGGTGTCGTGGCGGGAGTATTTTGATCAGATGCAGGATGTGAGTGTGGGGCCGCCCGACAACATGGACGTCTACAGGATCTATAGAGCCGGACATGACGGACCGCTGCTGGTTCTGCTGCACGGAGGAGGACACTCGTCTCTGTCGTGGGCCGTCTTCACTGTGAGTATCTAGTACAGTCAGCTGGTCGATCCATCGATGGCGGCTACATCCTGAATATATGAGTGTTTTGGTGTTTCTCCGCGTTGCAGTCGGCGATCACCAGCAGAGTGACCTGCAGGATTCTTGCCATGGACCTCCGGGGTCACGGTGAGGCAATATAAATGAATAAGTTTGGTTATATCATCAGTTAACAAGACATAAATTCCAGATTCAACGTAGATGCAAATAAGTTGTGTGTCGAGATTGTGCTGATTTTGGATTATTTGGATTATGTGGACGTTGTATCCAATGGAGGCTCGAACATTTTCTTCTTACATTTGTGCCCAAAGCAGGGAAATAGTAATCATTCATTACAATTTCAAAATCACGATATTCTGGTGTTGTATTGTTATATGTGTATCGCTCGTCTTTTGGAGAACCAAACCTATAAAAGTTTTTGGTGCCTAAAATTGCATTTGGCACCAGCCTGGCCCCCCATTTGAAATGGTCTAGAACCGCCACTGTTTGCACTACAAATTAAATCTACTCACTCAATATTTTTCTTTCAATTATTTAAAAAATCAGCAATTAATTCAAGCTCCTCTGCCACTTAATAGCTACGGATGGTTCCCCTTGCTTCAACATGAAATTATTGATATTATTGATTGGTTTCAGTGATTCAGTGTCGAGTTTTAGAGTAAAGCAGTCTAAATTGCATTATAATGAGGATTTAAAAAAACAAAAATCTCTATTAAGGTGACACCTTGGTCCGCCAGTCAGGCGACTTCTCAACTCATACCATGTCCAGGTAACAGCACCGACACACAAACACAAACACCACTAATCCTTTTATCTCAAAGTGACCAGAACCGTTACCCTCTGCTACTACTTCCGTTTGCTCCACCCCCTTACTCAGTGATGTAGCCAATGTGATCGGAGCCTGCTACGGTGAGACTCCTCCCCCTATCGTCCTGATTGGCCACGGCGTTGGCGGGGCGATCGCAGTGCATACAGTCAACCACATGCTGCTACCGACCACTGTGGGCCTCGTGGCGATCGACGTCGTGGAAGGTAAGAGTTTGCTTTTTTATTTGTTATGTTCACAAATATCTTCCGTCACTGGGTTCTCTTTTCCTGCTGTATAGGTAGTGCGACGGAGGCACTACACAGCATACAGAACTTCCACAAGGAAAGACCCAAGTCCTTCAAGTCCATGGACGACGCTATAGAGTGGAGGTGAGCAATTAAGACCCAATATACCCAATGAAATACAGATACTCAGCCACATGTATGCATCTCCGTTTGCTGGGTCACCAAGCTGATTGCAATTTGGTAGCTGCCAAAAACAACAGAAGATGAATAACTTAGGATATTAGGTGTGATAATGAACAGTTAGCAATAACAGCTACTTAGCTAACCGCTATCCGTGAACTAACCCAAACACGTAATTGAACTACGAGTGACACAAAAGTGTTTTTGCGTCACGATAATAGACTGTATATAAGAGGTGGACGTAGTCGTGACGCCATCATTGGTTTGCCGTCGCCATCTTGGTTGTCGGCTGTCGCCATCTTGGTTCTGTGCAACAAGAAGGGCCACTAGAGGGTGGGGCTAAGTACAACCAAACGCTGAATAAGATATTTTTAGTCGACAAAAATGTTAATTAACTGTCATAAAGTGAAAAAAAACACTGATAGGATTTAAGTTGTAAGACGGACAACTCTGTGGTAGCTTCCTGTCAATCACAGTAGCCCCGCCCTAAAGCATCCCCTGCTTTATGGTCTGTGTGACTCTAAATGGACCATAATGTACTAAATGAACATCATGCTGTATTGAAGAAGACTTGAAACTAGAGATTGAGACCATAAACTCATGTTTACAATGTTTACTGAGGTAATAAATCAAGAGAGAAGTAGAGTCATTTTCTCATAGACTTCTATTCAACCAGACACTAGAGAGAATGCAGCTTTAACACATGAAGCTTTGACTTCACTTTTCAGACCAGGTAGTTGACGCCTGGTCATGATACCTCACCTATACCGACAACGGTCAAACTGATCAGGGATCAGATAAACACCACAACAACTTGGTGCACCAACGGTTAATTTCAGGGTAACTTTAGCTAACGTTATCCCATTTTCCACCTCAGACTGCTAGAAATAGTCGAACTTTGGAGGAGTAAAGCGTTCGTATGTGTCTTGGAGAGATCGACGCATTTACAACTTCTGGCTAAGTGAAACACTAACAACTCTTTTTTCCTCCTTGCAGCATCAAGAGCGGGCAAATCGCGAACCTGGAATCTGCAAGAGTCTCGATGGTTGGTCAGGTCAAAAGGTAGGTTGGCTTTGGTCGGCCAGTTAGAGGTGGAACCTCCATATTGATTGGCTTATGCCTTTAATGTTTTTCCAATTTAAAGTTGATTATAAATAACGGGGTTTGTTTTTCACTGTTGAAACAACCGCATTTTCCTCAAATTAAAGTCCAAAATATGGACTGGGTGCCTGTTTTATTATAGAAATAAGCATAGTGTACATTTCCATCACTTTAATTTGATAAATTCAAAATAATCATGCTATTTTCAACTCATTTTTTTTCTGGACTACTTATCTTAAGTGTCATTTGTTCTACGCCATCCTGCAAATGTTTCTAAATAAAAGCCATGTTTGGAAATGATGGGATTCTGTCCACTTAAACACTTGAGAGGGCTTTTATTTTGAGGGTTTACGGTATGTTACACATTAGGCTCTCTATCTTCGATGTAAACTGACAGAACCAGACATGATAATAACATTTTGATAATGACCTCTCTCTTCTGTCACTTCCTGTTTGTTAAGATGTGAGGTGGAGAAGGCCAGCCCGGTGACCGACGTGGTGACCGACCCGGTGACCGACCCGGTGACCAACGTGTTGACCAATGTGTTGACCAACGAGGTGACCAACGTGGTGACCGGCCCGGTGACCGACGTGGTGACCGACGCGGTGACCGACGCGGTGATCGACGTGGTCGTCGAGCGGAACGAAGAGTCCTGCAATCAGAGTTGCGACAAAAAAAGCGGTGCCACAGAGGTGAGCGTCAGCGAAGGCCAGGTACGAAAGCTACCGCTCAGAGACACTGATGGTGAAGTAAAGACACCATGAGGCATAAAAATACAATGTATAACATATGAGGACTACTTTGTGCTATCGCCTTGGTTATCAAGGCTCTAAAAACCCGGTTAAAACAAGCTAATTTTAACAGTTACATTCATCCAGCAACCTTTAACCACTCAACCCTAAAACAGGCAGATGGTATAAATTGATTTAATCAAATTCAAGTTCTCAAATGCACGTCAATGTCTTGATGTTTTCTTCTTATCTGCTGTATTGTTATGATTATTAATCGACCACACTGTGTATCTGTGTGTAAGAGTGTGTACATGTGGCGTATAGATCTGTCCAAGTCAGAAAAGTATTGGGACGGCTGGTTCAGAGGAACCTCCACCCTCTTCCTGGCTTGCAACCTGCCCAAACTCCTGCTATTGGCCGGTGGGTATTTCAAAACCTCTGTAAGCCCTTTTTATGGCAAAAAGTACTACCTTTGTGTATATTAGCTGGTGTAAAATATGACCATTGAAAATTATTTTTAAATATTAATAATAAGCAGTAAGCTGCTTCTGTTTCCAGGAATCGACCGGCTGGATAGAGATCTGACTATCGGCCAGATGCAAGGTGAGATGGTAACCCCTCAGCTTTTATTCTAAATAAGTTGTTAAGCAAAGAAATGGCGTTGCTCAACTAATTTATCCCACATTTTAACATTTTAGTTCCTGCATTTGTTCTAGGATCTAATGGTACCTGGATCATACTTAAGTACAGTTTTGAATTCAGAAGTTTTACTTGTAGTGGAGTACTTTCACAATGTGGTATTAGTACATTTACTGAAGTAAAGGATCTGAATATGTCTTCCTCTACTGTCCATCAGCACAAAACAAAAACTGTCTGGCAACAGAAAATAAACTTATAAAGTATCACCTCCACTATCCTGGTCCTCTTCAAAGAGGAGGCAGAACGAAGCAGACGTTAGTGGGGCTGATGGGAAACGTAGTCCTGTAGAGACAAAATGCCACGTGTGGAGAAACGCTGTGATATTTGGAATACCTGACATTCTTTTCATGCTGTGTTTCTACACAAACTGGTGGAGGGTGTCTTCACTGCTGCAGAGACGTCTCTAAGGACACACACACACACACGCAGGTGTGCACAAACACACACACACACACACCTTGAGGCGGCAGATCCTCTCCAGAGACAGCTGCTTCTGTCAGTCAACAACCACGCTGGAAGTGACAGCCCAGGAGTGTGTGTGAGATAAAATAGCATCAGCGAGATCTGTGTGAGACAGACTGTTCACAGTGTGTGTGTGTGTGTGTGTGTGTATGTGTTTTCCTGTCTCGCTGTTTGTTTCCAGGTAAATTCATGATGCAGGTGCTGCCCCCCTGTGGTCACGCAGTGCAAGAAAACAGACCAGAAAAAGTAAGAAAACTGTTCAGTTTCAGTGACCAAGTACTCAAGTACTGTACTTGAACACAATTCTGAGGTATTTGTACATGAGTATTTAACTTTCATGCTTCTTTATAATTCTACTTTACTACAATTCAGAGGGAAATGTGTACTTTTTACTCCACTACATTCATTTAATATTATTAAAACAAAATATTAATTTTAACAACAATTAACAACATATACAATTAACAACAATATTAACAACAATTAAATTATATATTTTTACAGGTTAAGCTATTCAGCAGTGTATTAATTAGTTTAAATTATCTCTACCGTTACCAACTGCAAAATGAAAGTGATGAACAACATTGCAGGATAATGTATGTGTTGTGACAATTTAGGCCTTACCATTATTCATATTGGCAACCGCTGACTTGCATTCATTCGAACAGCTCTAACCGTTTAGATAAAAACACAACAACAAAAACATTTCGAACAGTACTTCCATTGACTTTCATTAATCCCCAAACATCTAAACCTAACCACAACTATTAAAGTTTTCTTAAAAAACGAAATACACTTGCATGTCAGCATGTATAATAATACTTAATGTGATTCCATTGACTTACATTTACCCGCCAACTTTCACCACTCAACCCTAAGACAGGCGGACAGTGTATTATTACATTAAGTATAATGATAATATGACATTTTAGGTGTTACAAAAAAACGTTTCCTAACTGCATTTTGGAAAAAATCCCAGAATCTTTACAGAACCGCCCTAATTTAGGTATTTCCCAAGTTAGAAATCCTAAATTAAGACGGCATAAATTCTATCCTAAATTCATAACAATTGCCAAAAATGTTACTAGGTTACTAGTAACATTTGTTACAAATGTTAAAAGGCTACTTAAACAGTTTAACAACACTCAAATTAATGGCTATGCATCAATTGCCAAGACAATTAATTTAATTGTTAAATTAAATATTTTTTGCTCTAGAAGTGAGAGCTGTTGAGTTTATGTCTCGTCCATCTCAAGAAGCCTTCTGGTACATTTTAATCAAAGATACAGACATGACAGGATGATAACATCTGAAGAATCAAATTCACAGTTATAGTTAGGATTTGTTAAATTAAGATTAAATAGGAGATCTGAGATAGGACACAGCCATGGATTTAAAAATTGCTACTGGAATAGGAAGATTTTTCCTTTCTTTTACACTTAAGTAAAGATAATTGAGCATAAGGATACTTATCTGCTATGATGCTGCCGTACCTTATGATTAAATTGTCTGTTTGTTTAGGTTGCTGATGCTGTGGCCTCCTTCCTGTTGAGACACAAGTTTGCTGAAGCCAGAAGAGAAACCAGGAGGTAAAATGTTCAGATAACTGACAAAAGCTAACTTCTGACCTGGGACAGATATCTTTAATTATAGCACCCAGAGAGCACCAATTATTTTTATTTTTACAATAAAAGTATACCTGAAACTGTTCTTCATTCCCTTTTTTCCAGCTCCAACTCTTTCACACAATGAAGTCTGCAGGTAAAATGTTATTTTAAACACCTACACCTGTTTTCCTTCTGAACAGCTTTGTTGTTTAGTACTGTAGTATTAATGTACCACACAGAAAAAATACTCCATTAGAAGTAAAAGTACATTGAAAATAAGTAAAGTACAACAGTATCATCAGGAAAATGTAAAAATACTCAATGCAGAGACATTTTGTTTTAGGGATTAGCAAAATAAATATGAACTTTCTGACCAACTACAAGTTTAAATAGAAATATTTAAATTATTCAAATGCTTGTTGTAATCAAATACTGCAGGTTCTAACTCTTTAAACATTTTCTCTCTTTCTCAGGGTTTTTTCTCAGACCGGCAACAATAAAAAGGAGCTCCAAGAAAATGGAAAGTACCACAAGAAGTCAAGACAACAACCCCAAAGTATATTTGACTTTACTTCCAGTTTTTGCACCGAACAAATCGGAAATTGAGCTACAGAAGGCTATATGTTGGTAGCCCAAAAACCTGCCCCCTGGAAAAAGATAGTTTTAAAAAGCTATACATTAAATACTATAAATGACAAAACATAAGAAGTAGTCAAAGAAGTTAGTCAAAACATGAGATTCTGAGTCACAATCATAAGATATAATCACCAGACCGTCTGAATATTAAAGTCAAAATAATGTGATTGCAATTTACTAAGTCAAAATTATGACATTAAATAAAAAAAAATAAATCTAAAATTTTGACCCACTAAATCAACATCCCACAATTTTTCTAGCTAACGTATATTAGCTTCCGTACGTAACAGTTCTGTGGTAGTATGTATTAAAATATAGCTAGCCACTAGTAAAACAGGAAACCATACTACACTGAAGTTTTAGTACCACCATTAAAACTTCATCTAGCTGCTTTTAAGATGTAATAATTTTATCAGTAACTACAAGTAATCTGGTGAAGCCACAACCTTTACAAACGTCATGAGGCTCGAGATCTTTTCAAATTCAACTGGTGGCTAATTTTACCATCCGATTCCTGTTTTACCATATACGTATTTTACCAAATACACCAAATATTTGTATTACTGCTCTCATCCAAGACAAACGTTTTTGCTAGTTTAAAAAAGAGCCATTTGCTACCCAAGTTTTAAGCTAAACCTTCTGGCAGTGCTATATTTAGAAGCTAGCAACTAACTAATGCTTAAGCTAATAGCAGGTGCTAGCTAGCTAGCTATCTGAAGATTAATATAAGCAATGACGCAATGAAGTTTTTATAGAGGTTTAATGGCATTAGACTAAAATAATTACGTGTGACATTACTGAGCTTGTTAGCGGTTAAACTTATTGTCCTCACAAAGGCCATGACAGCGAACAGAAGCGCTGCTTAAACTCGGCTAACGTTAAGGAACAAGATATTCTCATAGATAAGCGATAAATAAAATGTACTCTTAAAGGATGAAGAAAGAGAGCATGTCATTTGGTTTACAAATGTCTTTCAGGAGAATGATTAAGACACATTAATTAAGACATTTTCACTGTGTGGCCGTTAACAGAGGGAAACATGCTAACGTTACCGTTAGCAAAGCGAACTGTAGTAACATGCTAACGTGATGTTTGTTCACTGCTTCCTTCAGTTAGATGTGTGTTGTTACTAATGGATAGAAACAATAACAAATTACTAATTCTCTGTGTTAAAATGTTCTTGATAAACCCGTTATGTAGAAAAGGTGCCCCATAGTATGGTTAGATGAATGTTTGTTAAATAAAAACTGTTTTGTGTCCTCAATTTATCATTAATGGTATTTTCGTCACCAAGTTTCACCATGAAGTGATGTTTGTTCTGTTGTCTAGAATACAAAATGATAAACCACCGTCAACCACCCTCAGAAAATGGAGTGTCCTGGTAATTACTTTTGGAATAATACATGATTATAGGACAATGCCACTTTTTTGTGTAGAAAATGGATTTGTAGGCTAAAATACATAAAACTTTGACTCCATCTACAACTAATAAATTGGTGCCCACACTACCTGTACTTGTTTTTTCTTCCTTCATTTTAAAGTATTGTTACTTCGTCTTGATTGGATTTTATGAATGCTGGATGCTTGAAACAACATGAATTCAGTCTTTTTTTTTTGTAAATAAATGTTTTCACCAACAAAATGCACATAAAACTCAGAAGTTCATAACATATAAACAAGCAGATGTAGAATTCAAACTGTTCAGCTGTAATACAATTTTCATTATTGGGAAAATACAAAATCCGATACCGGTTAAAAACGTTTTTTATTTTTTAAGATGACAAACAAGACACCAGACTGGAATAAACACAAACAACTTGAATTGAAAGTTTTATTTAAATTCTGTCCTGAATCAGAACACGTGCAACAACTGAAACACAGAAACAAACATGGCCGCTTCGTATTTACACATGTGTACGTCTGTAATTTTGTGTTTGCGTGCAACAGGACAACCACACAAACAGACGCTCAAGAAAACAAGTAATATCGTAGAAACACACGTAGACCCATCAGATCGCCTCGACTTTCACCGTCTCTCTGGAGGGATCTGAAACTTTTTCTCTCGTTCTTTTTTTCTGAACACATTTAGAATTGTTGAAATGGATTCAAATCCACCTCAAAGCAGGTTGTGTGTCAATTCAAAAAAAGAAAAGTATTCAGGTTACATTTTTAACAATTTAGAAGATTAAAATGTATAATCCCAGATGGGATTACATGATTCAGGATACAACACAAATTACAATTCATGGCAAAATATATGGCAGTTGGTCCACAAACACATTAGCAGTTTAACCAGGAAACATTTTCCAGATCCTTTTTTCATAATCAAGTTTACAAAATGTCTCATAATGATCCCACACTTTTCTAAAACACAGAAATCTTGAGGGAAAACGAGTGAAATGTAGTGAACGAACAAAATGTTCGAAGGACAGATGAAAATTAAAAATGAAAATAAATCAGTTATTAGAAAGGAGACTTTTCCAGAACCTTCCAGAGAAACAGAATTAAAGTGCATCAACAACAAAAAAGAAAAAAAGAGGCTGAGCAACTAATCAAAACACGGCATCCGGGGAAAACAGCCAATGGGCTGCGAGGAGAGGCGGGAACAGGAGAAACCAATCAGACGTCATTACTGGCAGTGACATGAAGGTCCCCTTTATTTAACACGATAATAGAGACAGATATCAAAGTATTAACTTTGTTTTAAGAATAACCATTGGGGGGCAACATGCCACAGCAGCCTCAGTCTCTACTAGAAGAACAAGATAAATGGATCAAATTCATTTTCACTACGGTTGCAGCAGATTCAGTCACATAAAAAAAATATAAGAAAATGAAACAGTGCAAATGTAAAAATAAACATTCTCGGTTAAAGTAAAGCTTACAGCACAAAGGAAGTGACTTTAATTATTGTTGAATGGCCAAGACAACATGAACACATCCATCATCTTTATATAGTACAGCTGATTTAACCAGTGTTTCTTTATTAACTAATGTTTGTTGTGTACTTGGTAACCGACAAAGACCGCAAAGTAGGAACATGAAATTTTAAAAGCCGTCCTGGCTGATTTGGTTCCATTTCAAGTCTACGAAACATCACGAAAGACTTGATTACATCTCCAGGTCGTTATTATTATTCATAAATACAGTTCAATGGTTGAACTACAGATCCCATTATGTCGTGTGATGGTTTTTCCTTAGTTCCTTTTCTTAAATTTGTCGCGTTCTGAACACATTCTCGAACATTTAAACTTACAATAGCTTAGAATCATTCCATCGAGGTGCTTTGCGTAGTGTTTTTATGTACAATTACACAAATAATCAACACTTAAATCTGCCCGGATACTGAATCACGCTGAGACTCAAGTCTTTGCTGCTGGGCGTCTTCGTTACAAAAATAAAAACGTCTCCTCTGGTATCAAAATAGACGACAATCTTCATCTCTCTTGGCGTCTGAACAGCCGTTTGGCAGACGGACAGCGATGCCACACGGAGAACACGTGGAATATACATTTAATATTTACATGCTCGGCATCCAGAGTGAACTACGCTCACTAAAGCAGGGAAGGATGTAAGTCTACCACTCTGGGTACTGTCGTTCTGTCGGCTTTCACAGCTTGTTGTGGCGGCGTTTGAATTTTAAAACTCTGGGAATGGTAACGGCGGATGACTCTTATTGTGGAAGCGGGTTTAAACAACACATCTTAGGTTTGGTCGAGATCGGAGAGAAGATGACAGACTAAAGAGTCAGAGTCGATCCTTGATTGTCGGGGTTAAAGGTGTTTTTAAAAAAGGCAGCATGAGGCCGTGGTGGTCAGGCAGACGGACACTAAAGACGAGGTTCCTACGTCGCATTTTAACGATTAGCAGACGTTACGACTCAGGACAGACTGACACCGTGCAAAACTGATGAAGAAAGTCTGTCCGTCCTTTTACCTTCAGGCAGACACGAAGGGATTACAACCAAACTGCTCACCAACGCATCGTAGAAACGCACCTCATTTCTGCTAGATCGCCCAATTCCAATGCCCAATTCCAACGCCCGATTACGATGAATTAAGGTGCCCGATTACGATTTATGATGCGCTACGATCCGTCAATCTGGCTGTCAGACATTCGGATGAATTTCTGGCATGTCCCAAATTGTGGTTAGCTGTCTCGCAGTTCCACAGTCCGATTTCCCAACAAACATAGCTACTGTCAAACAATCCGATAAAAACCGTACCGAGCTCATTTTATTACTAATGAAGTAGCATTTTACATGTTGGGGCCAAACTGTAGTCTCGACTAAAACTCCTGTGATATTACACGTTTGTTGCAGAACAGAGCAGCTTCTACTTTCTAAGTAACGCTGCCTTTCTCTCTTTTTGTCAACATCGTTGAGGACATAATCATGATTGAATTAACTTTATTGGACGCCGTCACTACCTCTAGTTGGAGCTCGGTGTCGCAACCGATTGTTTTGTACAGCGTGAGCATGAAGGAAAGCAGATTAAAAACGTGAAGTTAACAAAATGTACAACACAAATAAAAACCTCTAAATGGTGTAAATAGAGAAAGTAAATGGCGGTGCAGCTGGAAACTCTCCATCATGGAGGCATTTCTCTCGTTACCATTTTCTCAGAATGATAATAATTACTTTTCGGTTTTAAAACAAATTTCATCAACCGTTCCCACACCTTATAAAATCAATGCAAACATTTCTTAGTGTCACCATTTTGGAACCACGACCGAAGACAGAAAGCATCCAAACCAAATACTGTGAGTACTACTGTACAGATAAAGGAGCCTTGAGTTATACCGACTAGGAAAAAGTAAAACACTGTGTAGTTGCTATTTAATACTGCAGTCACATTGGAGCTGTAAAACACCGGTTTAAGCAGAACACTAGAAGAAGAAGACACAAACCGAAGCAGAGCAGCTGGCATGTCCTTTCAAAATAAAATTAAAATAAAAGCGTTCCTTTCCAGAAATGAAAAGTCGGTCATTGCACACGTCCAGAAACAGCACCGGGCATGTTGGCAGGTCACTTCAACCGGAGGATAAAACCTCCAGAGAATCCAGACCAGGACAGGAAGTGAGTCACCATCAGGTCTCGTTCTAGTTGTTGTGCCTCTAACAGAATATTCCATAAAAGGTCCAAGAGCGCTCGTTACTGAAGAACAGGAGGTAATACGCAGGGAAGTCTAGATTCCTCACAGATCCGGATTTATAATCCTGCTTTGGCAGCTGACTTCCTCAGTTTCTACTCTGAGAGTTTGAGATGAACTTCGTGGTCTCCAGAGTTAAATGTTCTTCTGGAGACTCGGTTTGACTCCCATCAGACCATCAAAATGTCCACGATGTTTGGAGTTCAGGTTTCTGTCACCGTGGGTCAGTGACCGATGGGGGAGTCTGTTTCTAGAACCAGACAGGTGGACTAAGTTACAACCCAGTTTAACTGGTTAAGACCAGGGTCACCACACTGGATCACACCCGTGTTAGACCAGGTTAGGTCCTGGTTCTAACCTCGCCAAGAGCCCAGGAGACTACAAATGAAGCCAAACCCTCGAGTCCAGATCAAAACCAACACACACCTTAAAGTAAGTCCACTATGTGCAAACCCATCAGAGTCTAGACCCTGCTTTTGGCTAGTCTTGAGTCCCCACCAGGGGTCCAGACAAGTTGGTTTGGTTCAGCTAAGTTCTGTATCACACAGGTCCAAACAAAAAACAAACACAGTTAAAACCAGAACCAGGTCCTGGATCTGGTTTCAGTCGGGTCGTTCTCTGGAGCTTCAGGTCCACTCAAGTCTGTAAAAAATGTGGACTTGATTTGAGTCTGTAGTGACCTGGTTTGGGTGGGTTAGGGTTCTGTTCTGCTCCTCTCAGGACTTGTCCCCCAGCTGACACTGGTCCACAGACCCCTCCTCGTCTGAGAGACCCGTTTCAACGGTGATGACCAAGGATGCCACCGAGGCGCTGCTTGCCATCGGCTGTAGCTCACCTGGAGGAGGGAGGAGGGAGGGAGGGAAGGAAGGAGGGAGGAGGAAGAGAGGCTCATCCCAAACCAGACTATTACAAGTGGAGCCTCCATTTTCTTTTTCAACATTGGTAACACATGGAGAAATGTTGAATGTATAGATTCATTTGTTTGCCAATTTAATTTATCAAACAAATTCAACTTGCGTTTCTCATGATTGATGTCATAATAACTGTTATTCTGCACTAAATACATGTTCTAGTTCTCTCTACTTCTAGTCCTGATAGTTCTGTTTCATAGAGGAGCAGGACTTTTATAAGAGTAGAAAACGCCCCAAAACTGGGGTTCTGTTTTGGGGTTCAGAGGGTTAAACTTTGGATGGATTCTTTCTGTCCTTCACTACGAAAAACACGCATCACATAAAAGAAAAGTTGAATGTGACTTTAATTACATGACTCAGAATCACCACTGGGTGTCAGTATAACACTTACAGTAGCCGGTCAGTGTGTGTGTGTGTGTGTGTGTGTGTGTGTGTGTGTGTGTGTGTGTGTGTGTTACCTGTGTGCGTGTCTGTGGTGGCTGTCAGTGGACTGTCTCTCAGGGTGTCTGGGTCCTGGTAGTCCTGAGGGAGCCCCACCCTCCTCACCCCAGGGTCCAGCACCACGGAGGCTCCGTCCCCCTCGCTCAGCGTGCCGTCGCTGGAGGCCCCGGACACCACGGCCTCCAGGGCCAGGGCCCCGACTCCGCCCGCTCCCACACCCCCCCCGCCGCCCAGGGCCAGGTCATAGTCCAGTGGCAGGTCGTCCAAGCAGTCTGCGTTCAGCTGGAGGGGGAAGGGGGTCAGAGACATTTTAACAACACACCATTAGTTTTACTTTACTACTTTTAAGAAGTTTGAGAAACACAGTTTTGCAAGATCTTCTTGAACTGCTGAATAAACATGCCGTTTCTTCTCCGTAGTATCTCGATGTTCAACAGTCTGTCAAACTCTTCAACACAAGTTAAAAACGAAATGAAGCCGGTGGACTCACAGCGATGCCGAGGGCTTTGAGGATGTTCATCTTACACATGGGACACGTGCGGTGGTCCAGCAGCCACGGATCCACACAGCTCTTATGGAACAAGTGTCTGCAGACAACAACAACAACAACAACAAGTTATTGTCGTCTCAACCCTGAGACATTTCAACCTTGACAAAGGAAGCGCAGAACAGATCCACTCTTCCTGGTCTTACCTTTCACAATAAAAGCCCTAGACATAACCGTTTACCAGAGGGACCTCAGAGCCTCTCTCTAAGAGGAAACTCTGATGGCTAAACAACAGTTAACCTCAGACAGACTCTCCTGCTCCAATCTAGCCAAACCTTCTGTTGAAAAAGTGTTGCAACCGTCAGTGAATTCACATTCCTGCCAGTTCTAAAAGCCTTTAGGGATCAACAGGACTTATCCTTTCAATCATGTTCAAACAGCTTTGTATGAACCCTGGTTTAAGTCCTGCTGAAGTTCCCGTCCCTGTGTGGTCTTACCTGCAGGGCAGGATGCGGACCACGTCGTTGGGTTTGTAGCCCTCGATGCAGACGGCACAGTTGTCGAAGTCGGCCTCCGTCTCCTGGTCGCCTTTCCTGATGGTACGAACCTGAAGCTTACTGATGGCCTTCTTAGCTGCATCACCAAGACGACGCTGTGAGGGGGGGGGGGGGGAAGAGAAAGAGAAAGAGAAAGAGAGAGGATGTATATTAGTCGCAGATTAAGAAGCAGTAGTTAAACTTCTTCCTCAAACGTTGTGAGATTTAACTTTAGATAAAAGTTTCCTGTTTGGGTTTCTTTTCTTCAGTTTTCTCCAGATTACAAAATCTTTTTTATTTAAAAAGATATTTCAACATATTATAATAACTCAGTGGAAGCAGCTGTGATTAATTATGACTTGTGAACTGAATTTCACAATTTGTATTTTATAGTTTTTGGAAGCAGCTGTTTCTAATCAACTGGTTTGGGAACATTTAGTAGTATGAACTACACACAGTAAGCAGACACACAGGTTGCGGTCCCGAGCGTTGGCGTATCATATTATTATTAGGTGGTGTTGTTGTTTACCTGGTTGCGGTCCAGAGCGTTGGCATATCATATTATTATTAGGTGGTGTTGTTGTTTACCTGGTTGTGGTCCCGAGCGTTGGCGTATCATATTATTATTATTAGGTGGTGTTGTTTACCTGGTTGCGGTCCCGAGCGTTGGCGTATCATATTATTAGGTGTTGTTGTTTACCTGGTTGCGGTCCCGAGCATTGGCGTATCTGAACCTCTGGATGTAGTAGAAGACGAGCCAGGCCAGAGAGATGATCATGAGCACGATGAAGGAGATGGAGACGAACACCACCGAAGTCCTGCTCACGTACTTCTGAAGGTTCCTGGTCCCGATGGTGATCGTCATGTGGACCGTCACGTTGTGCTCCAGAAGGGTCGCCACCTCACGGCCCTTTAGCTCCGGGATCATGATGGCGACCACCTCACCTGTAGCGGGGGGGGGGGGGGGGGGGGGAAAGAGACGACGACACTGTATGTCACCAAATACTCTACATTTTAATGTCGATTCAGCAAACAGATATTTCATTATAACTGTGGGAAAAGAAACATGAATATTTATGAATTAAATACTTGACAAATGAGTCTTTTCTTGTCAAGCGTTTGTTGCGTTACAAATTAATTTCATCGTGCATCCCTGTGTTGCATAATGACAATAAATGATCCTTGAATGTATATAAATAAATACACACATATACCTCATTAGTCACAAAAACATGGGAACATAGGGTCCAGGTACAAAAGTACCAACATTACCCATTAATCATCTGGCAATCTAAGAGATTATATTCAGCTTCTGTATCTTGTTCATTCATTCAGTAACAACCCCCCCCCCCCCCCGATCGTGAACACAACCAGCTCCTCTTCCGCCCACAAGAGACGGCTAATCTAAAAATAACCCGTAAACCCCGACATGCTTCCGAGTGTACATCCATCTATGGTGTGAAGTACAAACACCAGGATTATATAAGAGACTGCAGCATTTCCATCACGTAGTAACCAGGGATTAGCCGGTGACGGCGGTCAGGTGTGAACAGGTCAAACCATTTCTGAGGGTTTATTTCTGGAGAAAAACGAGCTCCTAAAACTGACGAACGAACAGTTTCTGAAGAGGAAGAAGTTTGTTTTGGTCTCTTTTTTGGAGAAACGACCCTAAATTTGAGAACGTGACTCTTTGATTTAACGTTATGATTTTCCATCATGAAATAATGTTTTTGACACATTTTCAGCATCAAAGTCATCGATGACTCACTCTAAACACTCATACTGATATAAAACACATTGATGTACATATTGTGAGTATCTGTGACGTGTTTGTTCAGAACTTGATGTACTGGACGTGTCTTTGGGTGTTCAGACATGTGTTGTGGTGAATTTCCCCCCCCCCCGAGGCCGACGTTGAACTCAAACCAACCTCAACAAACACACAAAGCAACTAAATCAATGAGTCTGTCTAAAAATACTCCCCTGGGATCAATGACTCTCTGTCCCACATTAGTACTTCTATCCACACTCGCGTTGTAAACGATCAGACCTGTAACGTTAACCTAGTCAACAACAAGTCCCCAAACATGTTTAAAGAAGTGACAAGAAATTAAAATGAAGTGGCAACTATTTAAATGATGCATCTGTTGTTTTTATATTAATAAACTGTGCTGATGTATGATAGTAAACTTAATATATTTGAGTGTTAAGCTGTTGGTCGGACGACGTCGCCCTTCTGACATTTAAACAGTTTCAGTCAGTTTTAAAGCTTCTAAAAAGTGAAGATTTGCCTTTTATGAATATCTTTGGGTTCTGGATTGATGTTTCTGAACAACACATTGGGCTGTCAATAAAATCTACCTTACATTTATTGTTTTTAACGTGTTTTGTTTTAAGTCTTGTTTTTAGTTTCGGTCTCGTCTTATTCTTTGTCTGGGTCTGGGTCTCGGACTGAGTCTGGGTCTTGGTCTGGTTCTTATAAAACAGTGTCACTGTACCTGGATGAGGCATCGTGAGGGTGTCGTTCACATTAGCGGCCCCCACGTTGAAGATGACCACCGCCGAGGCGTTGTGTGCTGCAGCGTGGCGGATCTTATCCCTGTAGGTGCAGTTGCCCGGTGCAACCAGCGCCACCCAGGCTCCGGCCTGCGTCGGCACCGCGAACCGGGCGTTGGGGTCGCAGGCTTGCCTGTCGCTGGGCAGAACCACCACCAGGTCCTTGGCGTCGCGCTTCGGAGAGTGCTCACCGTAGCGGCCGCACTCTGTCTTCTCGGTGCGGAGCTCCGACGTGGCCGGGTCCACGTAGGTGATGTTCACGAAGGCGGTGTACCACTCCTCCCGCTCGGCCACGGTGAAGTCCAGGCACAGCAGGTGGACGAAGCAGAAGGACAGCAGCCACGTGGAGAGGGCCAGGCTGCGGCAGGCCGCCACCAGAGAAACCGGTGCCATGGTGATCCAACCGTCGGTGGAGAGGAACCAACCGCCGGTGGAGAGCGGGACGGAACCAACCAACCGTCGGTGGAGAGAGGAACCAACCGTCGGTGGAGAGAGGAACCAACCGTCGGTGGACCAACCGTCGGTGGAGAGAGGGACCAACCGTCGGTGGACCAACCGTCGGTGGAGAGAGGAACCAACCGTCGGTGGAGAGAGGAACCAACCGCCTGTGGACAGAGGAACCAACCGCCTGTGGAGAGAGGAACCAACCGCCTGTGGACCAACCGTCGGTGGCGAGAGGAACCAACCGTCGGTGGCGAGAGGAACCAACCGTCGGTGGAGAGAGGAACCAACCGCCTGTGGAGAGAGGAACCAACCGCCTGTGGAGAGAGGAACCAACCGTCGGTGGAGAGAGGAACCAACCGTCGGTGGACAGCAGACCAACCGTCGGTCGGTAGCGTGCACACCGCACAGACGTCTACTCCACCATCTTTAACTTCGACGCCCACTCCTTTACCACCCTCTTCCTTCTCTTATATATATATTTTTTTTTTCCGTGTTTTCAGCAGTTACCTATCTTCACACGTCCGTTAGCCGTCTCCATTAACAACCGTCACCGAGAACACAACAACAACAAAACACCCACGGGAGGAAGAGCAGCTTCGGACAAAATCCAACCGTTAAAACGACGCGACTGCACGTTACCGAAGTAAACCACCAAGCGGTGAACGTACTGTATTATAAGGTTAACGGTTATCTATCTAAACGCAGCAGGCCAGCTAAGTTGCATTGTTTTGACTGGGCCCGAGCGGACCAGTGCTAAGCTAGCGCTAATGCGATACGGGAGTTCCGGTTGTTTGATTTAAAATAAAAGCAGATTTATTTCTCGTGAAGAGCTTGTATTGCTGAATTTATGCTTTTATGACTCACAATTTAATAAAATAATCACTTAAATAATAAAAGCTCTCGTATTTCAGATACGCTGACGAGGTAAACTCCACAAATGAAAGCCGTTACCTTTTATTCTGAAGAGCATTTCATTTCCGTTATGAATGCGTCTGACTTGACGTATCTCTATGAGCGCTGTAAGGCCGAGCAGCACCACCTGGCGGCCCGGAAGAGAAACTGCAGCCAAAACATTACAAACCGACCAGAATCAGATACCAGTCAAAAAATACTCCATTATAGGTAAAAGTCTTGCATTCAAAATGTAGCTAGTATTATCAGCAAAATGTACTTAAAGTTTCAAAAGTAAAAGTACTCATTATGCAGTGTTATATTGTTTTTTTTATCACTAATAAATACACGTATGAGTATTTTAATGTCATAGCTCGTCAATGTGGAGCCAATTTGTGATGCTTTGTATACTACTGGGTGGATTAGTAGTACAACTTTAAGTGTCAAATAAATGTAGTGGAGTAGAAAGTACATTTCCCTCTAGAGATGTACTCTACTGAAGTACAGTACTTGATGTACATGAAATTAGAGCCGAGACCAT